GCAATGGAAATGGACTAATACAGGACCCACACTAGATTCTCTTCTTTGGAGTTTTCCTATCAGTGTTTTGAGTAGAGAGGGGGCTTTTCCAAACTAGGCATTCCTTCTACCATACTATCCCCTGCTTACTCTTCTTTGCTTTAACTGGAAAATTCCTATAGTTCCTGCAAGTCTCAGCTGAAATGTCCCATAGCCACCTTTCCAGAGCTCTCAGGCCTACTTTGGGTTCCACAGAACTGTAAACTTCCTCTATCCTAGTAAAACATGGTAGACAATTTTATTCATGAAAATTCTGAGAGCTATTTCCCTAAAGAGAATATATTCATAATGTGGGCTATCATAACACTTCCAGGAGGCTGCATGTGATAAAAGGGTTTCTGGGCACAGGTTTCCACAGTCTGGAAGAGGAAAAAGACAGGGAAAAGAGTGTTTTCTGTTTGATGCACCAGTAAAACCCCTGGGACAATTCTAGGGAAACCTTCCACAAAGATCTATATTACTGTTTGATGTTTCTGGAGGTAAACGGGATGGTTTACTTATTTTGTTTTATTATTGGGGGTGTTGACAGGCCGAGGCAGGAATCAAGGTGGCCCAGAATTATTTGGATTATATTTTTCCAAGATTTTACACCTAACTGTGATAGAAAGTACACCTTATATTAAAATCACTCCTTTAGAACAGAGAAGAGATTTTCACCTTCACTGCTAGGCTGCTAGACGAAAGGTCAAAGGAGTATACATTGACTAGACATGATTCAGAGGATAAAGAAGAACTATTCTGGGTCCAAACTGAGAATAAAACACACTTCTTTAAATTAAGGAAGCCTAAGAAACTCATTTGCAAAGCTGCAAAATAAAACCACCAAATTGAAAAAAATGGATGGAGAATAGAATCAAATTGGACTCAAAGCTACTCCTGCTCCAACTGCCCAGGCATAATGGTCTAGGGATTAGGCTAATGTTGCAGGACTTGCAGTAAAACAGGCTTTGCAGCCACTGGCAAATCTGCTTTGTAGAGAGTCAGTAAAGCATAGAGTTAAGAGCTTGAGCTCTTGACTCAGACTATCGTGGTTTAAATGCGGGCTCACCTAATTACTGTGGGAACTTGGCCAGGTTATATACTTTGTTTATACTTCAATTTCCTTGTTTGTAAAATGAGAATAATAATAGTTTACTCAAAATATTTTTGTGGAGATTATATGAATATTTAATATATAAAACAGTGTCAGACAGTAAGCTTTCAATAAATGTTATTTACTATCACTATAATTACTAGTAGTAAGTAATAGATACCACTAGAGAAGTTTGGGGGGCAGGAGAGGTTGTTGTGCCAGGGACAGGAGAAAATTATTCTGAGACAAGTTAGACTATGTTAGTGAAATAGCTCAGGAAAGAGGAGTCCTAGATGTAAAGAAGTA